TTTTTACTGAGTCTTTGGGGTTTTCTATGTATAGGATCATATCGTCTGCAAATAGAGTTTTAATTCTTCTTTGCCAATGCGGATGCCTTTAATTTCCCTGTCTTGCCGTATAGCTCTGGCTAAGACTTCTAGCACAATATTGAATATAGAAGTGGTGACAAAGGGCATTCTTGTCTGGTTTCTGTTCACAGAGGGAAGGCTTTCAGTTTCTCTCCATTGAGAGTAATGTAGGCTGTTGGTTTGTATATATGCTCTTAATTATGTTAAGGAATTTACCTTGAATTCCTACTTTGTTGAGTGTTTTTTTATCAGGAATGGATGCTGGATTTTGTCAAATGCCTTTTATGCATCAATCAATATGATCATGTGGTTCTTTTCTTTTTTCTTATTTATATGGTGGATTACATTGATTGTTTTTCTAACGTTTAACCATGCTTGCATCCCTGATATGAATCCCACTTGATCATGATGTATTATTATCTTTTTGATGTGCTGCTGGATTCTGTTGAGAATTTTTGCATCTATGTTCATGAGGGATATTGGTCTATAATTTTCTTTCTTAGTGACGTGTTTCCCTGATTTTTGTATGAGGGTTATGCTTGCTTCATAAAATGTATTAGGAGGTTTTCCATCCTCCTCTATATTCTGGAAATTTTGAGTAGAATTGGTGACAACTCTTCCTTGAGTGTTTGGTAGAACTCATCTGTGCAGCCATCTGGGCCTGGAATTTTTTTGGTTGCGAGTTTTTTGAAAACCTGATCAATTTCTTCTTTTATTATGGGTCTGTTCAGATTTTCTACTTCACTGTGTGTAAGTTTAGGTAAGTCATGTTTTTCTGAAAATGAATCCATCTCTTCTAAGTTTTCAAATTTGTTGAAGTACAACTCTTCATAGTATCCTGTTATTATCCTTTTTTATTTCCTTTGTTCTGTTGTGACATCACCCATGTGGTTTCTAACGCATGTTATTTGTGTCTTCTCCCTCTTTTCCTTTGATAGGTTTTCCAGTGGTCTGTCAATTTTGTTAATCCTTTCAAAGAACCAGCTTCTTGTCCTGTTGATTTTTTCTATAGTTTTTCTGTTTTCTATCTCATTTATTTCTGCTCTATCTTTATTATTTCTTTTCTTTTGGTGGCTGTAGGTTCCCTCTGTTGG